TTGAGCACTAAATACTGATGTAGTAGCGGAAATTAGTGCTCGAATTTTTCCACTAACTTCACGCACCTGACGTACTGTACGTCGATTTGAGTTTGTTAAATTTGTATCTTTTAAGTTTTTACCGAAAATTTAATAAAAAATACAATAATATTAAAATTAACTTCCAATAAAAATTATTGGATATTTAAAAAAAATTATTTACCTTGGACTTAACCTACTAAATTTTTTCTTTCCCGGAACCCAACTTACCTACTACCTTTTTTTCCCGGGACCCAACTTACCTACTACCTTTCTTTTCCCGAAACCCAACTTACCTACTGCCTTTATTTTCCCGTGACCCAATTTACCAACTCCCGGTTAATCGAATTTCTACTGTAACTTCATTATTTCACATATAATATAACAAACTTTTGCTTAGCACTTGGATTTATATTGTGTTCGCTTACAAAACTTCAAATATATTGGACGTACCACATATTCTCTTATTAAGAAATGCATTTAAAGATGGGTTTTAATAGAAAATATGCTATTTTTTACATAAAAAACCTGTTTTTAGGGTCAAAGCGGGTTATTGGTAAATTCAAACAATCGCTTTCTTTTTGAAACAAAATGTTATTTTATATAATATTATATTGCAGAGTAGCGCAGCTTACGACCGCATCAGATGTACCTACTGGTACAAGTTATATTTAAAATACAATCGGTGAAGTGGATTACTATCAGTAATATCGAAATCGTAATCGGCACTCGTCGACCGCGATTAATTTTATCATTTCAGCGATACCAAACACCTGTATAAAACCATCGAATTTCTCAGTTGAAACCAAAATGTCTGCTTTTACGAAAAATGGAATTATTTTGTTTTCACTGAGTACGGATATTGTATATTGACTATAAATGAATGATTTTAACGAGGGAAATCGACATCAGTTTGTGACGTATTGCACTTGAACTGATCAAACGTATCGTCTTAAACGCATGTGTTTAAAAATATGGCACCAATATTCTTGTGCGCTGTATTATAGTGATGAAAAAAAATATATCGAATATCGTAGAATTATACATGTCAACAAGAGTCGAGTCGAAAAAAAACTAGCGTACAAAACTTTTTGACGTTAAACCGTGTTGCACGACACGTGATAGTATCATTTCTAAGTGTTCCTGTCAGATTACACGTATATTGTATGATCGTGGGTAGCGATTAAACGAATTAATTGCGGAGGAAGGATGTGGTTGATGTTCAAGCATAAATTACAATCCTTGAAAAAATTATTTTACAATGTGAAACCACTTCATAAATAAGTATAAAAATATGAAGTCAAGTATAATTTCATTAACGCATAGGTATAAATGTGATAAAAGCTTATGATATTGAAAAAATAAAATAACTGACCTCTTTTGTAAATGATTTTTCCCGTTACGCGTTTATAATAGCTATGTAGTATAATAGACTAATTTAATTTGAAAATATAGAAAAACACTAAAGAAAAGTTAAGGCCATTTTCGTAATTATTTTACTGTCATACACTCATTTATGTAGTAACCGAGAGTAAAAAAAATATGAGAAAGTTAAGTGAAAGTCATTCTTAACTATCGAAGTCATAAAAAAAAAAAAAAATAAGTAAACTATAATTTTAAAAATCATACTGTTTGATTATTGATATCCATAACAAACAGTTTAAATGTATTAAATCAATTAAATATGATGTACTATTTGTATGCGTTCAACAGTCGAAAATCTCACCAACTTAACAATGCTCTCGGCCATACGATTAAACAACAATGACTACACAGTGACAGGATATATGGAATTGTGAAGGGCGTCTACATAATTATACATAAAGTACATTAAATAATATGAATAAAAAATAACAATAATTACAGGTATTATTAAAAAAAAATTATAACTTGTACAATATTTAAAAAGCAACGTTGAATTTAAATGTGGCAATTTTATCACAATTGAAAAATCATTTTAAATCAGCTTCGATTTACTCGAATATTATCAAGATTTTATTAAAAAACTAAAGACTAAATTCTACAATGCTGGTTTATTTTTACGATATGGTTAAAGTTTAGGCAGTACTCAATAGTATACACTCAGTTTTTAATATATAGAGATGCCATGTGGAATTTTTCGAGATTTTAACTACTTCAAAAAGTGTGAATCGAAAAAAAACAAATCCGTAAGAAGAAAAAACCACACCTAATATATCTAATAACCCAACAGGTCTCTATCCCTATTGGGAATCAAAAAAATAATGAATATAAAGGACTAGTTAGACTTGCGGCTAATATATACAAAAGTGACAGCCATCGCCAAAATAATAATAATGTATTACCTGTTTCACTGACATATACATAGAAAATGTAAGTTGGCCACAGTTGGTATGAATGGGGAAAACTCCTGGAGAGGCAACTACCAGAAATTAGATTTTTTGGTTTAAATTATAACGATATAAGCAGAAACAGTACGAAATATTTTAGTAACTATTTCTTCGAAAAAATATTTAATTTGAAAAATGCCTCTGAAAAATAATAAAAAGAAAATTTTCCTAAATTCTAGAGTATTCTAAAGCGCATATACAAAACATATTCAAATTGAAGGACTACGGGGGAAAACTAATAATCAAAATATATATATATATATATATATAACAATTATATAGTTTTGACATTTGTTTTATAAGTAAATTAATTTTTTTATTAATTTTATCAAAAATTGGTTGTATTACCACCATACATTTTTTTGAATTATTCCATACTGTATCTCTTACTTTTTTGAGTTCTGAAACTTTAAAATTACAATACTAAACAGTTTACGAATATTGAAAATATTTCAAAACCTATAAAATTAATAACATATTTACAATTGACAAAACACAATTTCAGTATAACGTGATAACATTTTTTACTGGCAATCACTTTTCAAACAAAAATCTATAATAATTCATTAAGCGTTTTATTTCAAATTATAATTTACTCGTAATGCTCAACAATTTATGGCATAAACTAATAATCCGGCTATCAAATTTAATTATTTCTTAACTTTTAAAGAACTCTATAATCGATGGATAAATTATTTACTCTTATTTGCGACTCTAGTATATTGTCAGTGTAAACATACAATACTATTATGTCAATATGTCTTATATTATAACAATGATGTTACTTTATTTATTCAATACTACAGTGTATTTATTAACTAAACCACAGAAGTGGTGTGTACATTCAGAACAACTTGTTTTCGATTTTATAATTACTGGTATATTCATGGCCATGAAACAGGCCATCCAAAATTACCTTTCAACTATAATATTAACTGGTTAGTTGGTAGATTATTATTAATTAAATCCTCGTAATACTATACCTACAACTAAATTGATTCGTTTTTTTTAAACAATAAGATTAAATGTAATTTAATCTACAATGTAGACATAATATATTATTGTTTACTCACATTTATATTATACCTGATTAAATATGAGATCCTAACATTAGACATAAATAGATTATATATTATTATTATTATTATTTATATTAATATTATTATATTACATACATTAGATATTCATATACCATATAGTCAGTAACTTAATTTATCTGTGTGATGCTATAATATTACCTAAACCTATTCTTCAGATTCAATTATTTACAATTGTTTAATCTACACTATATACCTACATGAATCCTGTGAGTATAAAATAACCATAAAAAATGTACAGTTTTCTACGGATTCTCCATGATGATCATATTTTTCCTTCTTTGTTATTTAATTATAATTGTTCTCAGTTGCATATATATGTATTTGTTTTGGGTTGTTTTCATAAATCTGGAACCATAAATTGATATGTCCAAAAAATATAATAATATTTCAGTTTACAAAATCTAAATAAATATAAATATTTAAAATACACTGACTTAATAATATAACATAACAATTAAATTTAAACACCTCTTTATACATTTATTTTTTTCGATTATTTTTAAGGTTTCAACATTAAAGTCATTAGCCTTTGTAAATGTTTAAATTCGGTGGTACGGGCTGATTTTTTTCGGAAGTGTATTAATAAATTTAAGTTTTTTAATGATACGATATCTTCTGGGTTCGTTGGTAGTGGGAAGATTTTTCTATTGTCTGCTAGGCATGGGCATTCAAGGAAGAGGTTCATCTTTTTTTTTTTAGAATTATATATCATAAAATATAATAGTCATATAACGGTGATAACTATAAGTATATAAGTTTCATCAATTCATTATTTTATTATTCATTTTCAATTTTCGAAAAACCTAAGTAAACCTGACGTTTATATTAGGACTTACAGGTATATACATCTGTTTATCAGCAAAACATCATTATTTTATAGCAACTTTTTATCATTCACTTTTATGTGATAAAAATACATAAATAATACATATATAATCCATATAATCGACCTTCGAACATACTAAAAAAAAAACAAAATATAGCTATATACAAAGCGATTACTATAACCAAACGTGTTTAATTTTTGTACTGCTTGAAATAAATAACTTTAAGAATAACGTTTGAGACCGTTTAATACTAAAATTTGCAACGAATAATAATAATTAAATGTATGATGGATTCAGTGTTACAAATATTTATAATCTATATTTAATATTTTTTTAATAAAAACAATAAAAGTGATAGAGATATCATTAAAAACAAAAAATGTACGAATTTAATAAACAAGTATCTACATTTACATAATACATGGTATATTTATATTAATATGTGTGAATTAAATATATGCTTATATACATATGCATATATGTGAATGTACGTGTTTATGTGTTTACTTACTGAACCACTATGGTATTCCCCCACTGTAGAATTGCACATTGGATTATTTGTAAAACGTGTAGGAAAACTACTCAGTCACCGATTTCGCTAACGTCCAGCCACAATTCAGTTACACACTAGCTAATCCAATGGTATACTAACAATAAATCGCTGGTTTAAAGTTTTGTGAAACAAAATGGACTCGGACAAGAACAAAAGGCTCCATTTGCCCTTTCCTATGGGTAAGATTTCTAGAGAAGTATAATTTTTATGATTGTTCTCGGTGTAAAGTAGTAGATGTAATTATTATCACACTTATTTTTAATTTACCATCGCCATTAATCGAGAGCATTATGTGTATTTTATCAAAAAAAAAATTTTTTTAACAAAATAGTTTAGTGAAATTAATGTTTAAATATTTACTGAACCAACTTCTTAAAAATAATTGCTAATTAATTGCTTTCAGTTAAAATAAAAACAAAATGGTACAGTGTTAAACGAACCGCTTTAATTGTTTAACCAATTGGTACTTTATTAGAAGAAAATTAAAAAAGTTCCCATTCCACAACAAACGAAGAGAAAACATGTGAAAGATATTCAGAATCATAGTCCCTTTTAGACACACAATACAGAAATTATACATTCATACAGATTTAAAATAGTTTCGCAAAATTGTTCAGAGCAAGTGTCCACAGTCCATTGCACAACATAAACAATGAATTTTATACATCTACTGCATAATATTGTGATATTGAAGGGATAAGGTCATATATATGCATAGTAACGAGTTATTTACTAAACCACTGTCAATTTCTCAGGTCATATTATATACAGTATTTAATTACAATCACATATTACAGAAAAAATTGTAACATAATAGAAAATATTAAATAAATAGGTATACGATTTATTTATTAATCGTCAGAAAAATTGAATATAATTTAAAAATATTAGAAGTCTCGATAACAAGATCAAACATGTTATATAATGACCAAGTCGATACGAAATCATTAAAATAATAAGTTTTGACTTCCCACAATATTATATATAAATTACGAGTTTTGTGTAATGGCGTAAATCAATTTGAATTCACTAATCAATAATTATTATTATTTATTTCGATTTGTTATTTTCTCAATGATTTTATATAATACTTATTATCGTGTAATAGCTCAATTTTATTGTTCTGGTCTATTTATCCGACGACGGATATCATCTCGCTTTTCTATTTAAAAACAAACCCCACCAATAATACAAAAAACACTAACACTTAAAATATTTTTCTCGAATTCAATTGATAATTTATTTTTCACTCTGAGAATGACTTTACTTATAAAAATCTTAAGCTAAACCCACGATTTATTTTACTATGATGTAAACTGTAACTGAAACGCCAGTTTGTTTTTCATTTCTCTGATCATATTTTTCCCTCGATGTCTCGTATATGCAATTTGTAGTTATATTTATCTATGCATACTAAACACGCAGTATACTTATATACCTATAGACGTTACAGTATAATTACATTTATTTGGATTCAACATAACCGTTTGAGGTGTCACAAGAATTGATTAGTTTAAGATAATTTAATATCTCTCCTACCATTCACGCGGTTGTAATAGCACCGTGGACACTCTCTATTGTTACTTTAGATTTTTACATTAAAATATATATACATTTTAAAGGCGATATTTTGAGAATATTGAGAAAATTTTGTAAGGCGAACAATATGTTATACATATTAAAAATAATAGAAATAATAATAGTAATAATCATAGATCTTTGCATCCTTGGATTTATAATTTGGAATAATGATTTCCTGATAACATTTCTTACCCGCTTCACTGTTTCAAGTTCAATGTAAAATTTAACGTACCATGCTTAACCAACACTAAAACCACTTACCGTACGTTATAAATAAAATACATACGTATTAAATTATGATCAGGTGCAGATAGTAATTACTGGTTTTTATTTTTTTTATTTTAAAAATAATTTTTACAATATATTCGTCGACGAATCATTCGGCTCTAGACATCCAGTAATAGAACACAATACAATTTAAATTTGTTTTAGATTATTTTATTTTACAAAATACATCATATAGCAAGTTACCTTCTTTTCTTTACTTAAACATTATTTAATACTACGCTACACCTTTTAAGCCATTTATACTTTATTATCCAAAACTGTTAAAATTATTAAATAAATATTATTGAAGTGTAATTAGTATTTTTAAATTCACCAACTTTCTACATCATAAAACTATAATCTAACCACAAAACCTACATAATGGAATAATTATTATTGATGTTTCTTAAAAATATATTGGTACAATTTGCAAATCCATAATTTGAGGGCATAAATCTTTCTTTTTCGTTATTCGACATTAAAAATGATTTAGTCCTGCATATTTTAAGATTTGATTTATATTATTTAAATTCTTTATTTTAAAAAACAGTTTGCGTTGTAATTTTGAATTACTAGGTAAGTCTATATTAAATATCATGGTCACATGCATTTCATTGTAATTATTATAATTTATAATTTATTTGTATATAATATTGTTAACAATTATCATATTTAAGAATAATTTCATATTTTCTAGGTCCATATGCAACAGGTTGTATGGAACTAATGACAGAATATTCATCAGAAGGGTCTTTCGCAAGAATATTTTATCCTACTAATATTCCATCCGACCAATTGAATGTAAGTATAAGAATGTTAAACATTAAAACTCTTGATTTAAAATAAAGTGATTTTTGGTAAATATATATATTTGTATACAAATTACTTTTTAGTTGTATACTCATGTTTAAATACCAAATTCCAAATTAACAATAATTTACAAGGTCCGCGATAAATTTAACCAATTAATAATTTAAATATAATTATATAAATTTTTATATTTTTTTATTTAACAAATTAATGTAAAAAATCTTAAGTTCTATAATATATCGTTAATTACATTTCATCATTCGAATTATTTTCAATGTAGTGCAGTAAAATCTAGTAATTTTATTGGAACCAAGTAAATGAACTAAGATAATATACTCGTACAATATTTTTTATAAAATCAAACCATTATAATAAAATAATACTTGCTTGTTTATTAATTTAGATTACTAATTGTAATTTAATATAATATTATATATTATAATATAGTATAATATTTTATATAATATTTTTATCTATTTAAAATAAGCAATTAGGATTTATTTTACATAAATGTAGATCGCTAACTATAATTCGATTTAAATAAACAATTAGGATTTTATTAAAATTCATTCGACACAATTGCAATAATATTTTAATATGTACAAACTAATAATACCTATTTAAGAGATTTAACCATCTCCAAAAAAATATATCGAATATAATAAATTATTACAATCATATACGGTATATAGGTAAGTGTATCTTAAAGGGACTACGCGATAAAATAATTGTATCATTCCTATATATTTATTATGTGCAAAAAAGAAAATAATGTTCGTAGATTTCATATAATCGGTAATTTTACGAATTCGGCATAACATACCATATACATGATAATGACTGATGTAATGTGTTTTGTGCAAGCCATAGCTGATAGTTTCTAACCGCTAAGATACATTATGTTATTGATTAATTAAAAGTTTAAACTATAAAACTAGGATATCAATATTATTATGGTATAATGTGTTCGGAAATAATATGGATGTCACAATGCGTAATCATTTCTAACGTTTTCGTTAATATTTTTAATTTTATGATACATATTAAACAGATATTATAACCATTACATTTTAATTTACAAAGAAAATTATTTACAACTAAAGCAATGTGAACGATAAGTAAAAATATTTTCACCGATTATATAATAAAATAATAAATTATGTTAGTAATAAATAATTCCACTTTGATTACAGAAATACTCCGACAAATGGGTCCCGTGGATGCCACACGAAATGTACTTAAAAGCATTTGCCAGTGCTCTTCGTATACCCTATTGCATATTCAAATATGGTCCGACACTGATCAGAATGAGTAATGATTTGGCTCACGCATTAATTTATATTTATAATATCAATTTGTATTTAATATTAAATCAAACGATTTATATGGTATAGTAAAACCGGAAATGGATATGGAAATACCAATACCAGAATTTTTTTTACTAACGTATTGATTAGTCATAAGTCTGCAATAATTTCGTAAATTTCGAATCATATTACACCGCGATATAGATATATCTCTATAGATCTCCTATGTACGATAAAAATGTTTACGGTCAGTTATAGAACCTTGTGGATCAATATTACATATTGCTAATAAACGTATCAATGCATTTACGAGTGGAAGAATTGTGAAACGATAATTAGAGTTGTGTAATACGTATGGACCAGAGTAAACGCATGTGTCGAGGATAATGTTTTAGATCGTCAGAGCCACGATTCGTGAGACGATGAAAATAACACTTACGTACAATACAGGTTTACAAAACGCTTTGTTCCGACACACTACAAATTAGTAGATCGACGTATTTAAATCGTTACAGGCACACGTTTCAACAGTTTAACTACGAGTAGAAAACTGACAACGGTGCGATAGGTAACAGTGCGTTCGGTTCTTCGTACACCACATAGTAAACTAAACTGCAATCCATGCGTTAAACGCACGCGGACACAAAACGGAAATATTACCGAGATTCGAACGGGAATACACGATTTTTTTTTTTTTTTATTATTAAAAACATGCTATGGCGTGCGGTGGTCAATCGAAAATTATTTCACGAAAAAATATTACGTTATTACAAATTATGATGTTTTCAGAACCGTATTACATACCGTCCATTAGCGATGCGCCCGTATCGGACGGAGAACAATCGTTCCCCTTGGTCATATTCTCTCACGGTTACGCGGCGACGAGATTTGTCAGCTCAAATTTCTGTTACTCGTTGGCGTCGTACGGGTTTATAGTGGCTGCCATTGAACACAGGTAATTATGATTGTATTGAAAAATCAAGTCGAGTGAAATTATAATATTGTGTACCGCACATGCACACGTATACGTACTGAAAACGGTGAACGGCGCCGGATAAAAGTTAAATCGGTGCGACAACCACGCAAAATTAAAGTATACCAACCCGAATGATACACCCCTATCCGCAGCGATCGTCTGACATAAACTTAACCTAGGGTGATCATACATATCGTATTGTATGGGATTGTCGCGTATTTCAGTTTTGTCTCGATCGTCCGTTGTCCCGAAATATATAATACATAATTATGTCCCGTTTTTTTTCCCCCAAGTCTGTCCTGTATTAATCCCGTTTTCCCCGTATTTGTTAACGTGTAACATATTATTACTATTATAAAATCTCTACTATATAAACGGTATTTTGGGTTATTACTTAGCTGATGTCCAGGGACAGTTTTAAGACAAATACTTAGAGGGGCGCATCCAAAAAAATTTCTGACTGTATAGGGAGGAGAGGGGGAGTGGTTAATTTACAAATATTAGCTGTATGCAAATTTATTAAGATTTGTGTTAGAATCTAAAAATAGAAACATTAAATGAGATTATTTAGAAGTCAACCCACAAATTTAAAATATAATTAAGTTAAAGGTTTATAGACAATTTTAATAGACACATATTTAATTGACTATTTCATACTAATTTATTAAAAAGCATATGATTATTTATTATTATTAACATAAAAATATAAAATCTTTATTTATTGTTTTGATTTTTTTGGATTTTTCAAATTTAAATTCTTTTTTGTTTAGCAGAAGACTATTTTTGAAAAATACAATAAATGTCAATTTTGTCAGTAAAGTCTCTTTCACAATTTAAAGTCATTAATAAATTTAAACGATCTAAACTTATTATAGAGCAAAAACTATGTTTGATCAATTTTAATTTGCTAAAAGTTCGTTCACTAGATGCTTTAATTACTTAAACTGTAAATGCAAGGCAAAGTATCTCAGTATTTTTAGCGAATTTTATACTTTATGTGGCATTTTTGACTTTTTTTTATTGAGTTTTTTAATTTATTTGGACGTTTTTTACCTATTTCTCGTATTATATTTAAAAAAATTGACTTCATTAGGATATAAACATATTATTAACATTAAACATATTTAAAAGGGCATTTGTTTAGAATTTGTAGATCATAAATTCATTATTTGACTTTTTTAGAGCATATTGTGAGCCCTAATTTTCATTAATTCCCGTACATATTTACGACTGTGTGATGTGCCGGGTGATCAATCGTGCGGAGGAACTATTCAAAGTGGGGATTGATAAAAACGCGAGACAATATAATTGATTTTAATTATTTTTACTAATTCACTCGTTTAGTCCAAAAATAACATAATAATACAAGTTTAGACAAAGGCAACCAATACATTTTATGTATAAATAAATGTGCTTACTAATGTGCATTCAAATATCCATAATTATATATATTATTTATATATTGATATATTATAAATGTCTTCGATTTTAATTTGTCGACTACTTATTCAGTTCCACCGACGTTCGGGGAGTATAACACCTCCCCCCCTAAAACTATCCCTGGTGATTTTAACAGGTATATTATATTCTGATAAATATATTTCTGTGTATATTTTATTTGTAATTAAAAGCCTTTAATACAGCTCAGTTAATTAAAATGTTACGCTTCATATTTAAAAAATAAAATACAACTATGGCAGTAGAGTGCACTCCAACCTATTTATAAATGTTAATATTAACATTTTAAAATTAATAAATAATAAATTTTAAAGATTTTGCGTTGATGTTTGACTATTTTCATTTCAATTTTTTTCGTTTAATTTGTTTATGATCATTAAAAAATTACTGGTGTGATCTGAAGAAAGTGCGTTTGTGCAGTTTCATACATTTAAAATCATAATTAAATATGAGATAATATAAACATTATTTAATTTATATTCTTGAACTGTAGCCAAATACAAAAGACTGGTTACTTTTAAACGATCGATTCATAATATTTTATTGATAATTATTTTTGCTCCGTGCGCTTCAAATATCATTGAAATGCAAAATATTGTGTATCTACTCCTTTCAATATTACTTAATCATGTATAAAACAATTTGAATTATTTTTTTTGAGTAAGAGATAAGTCGTCGCCAGTGACATTTTTCTACGATAGTCCGGAAAACGCGGAAAGCGACTGTCGCACGTGGATCCACCATCTACATTTACACAAAATCAACAATAATACGGACCACTACACTTTCAGAAACAATCAGGTAAAAATGTTATTACGTTTAAAACTATAGAGCACAACTGTTAAAAATTATAATTATCCGTCTACTTAATTAAATTAGATGAAAGTAAGACACAGAGAGTGTACCAAACTTCTGAACACGCTTTTAGAAATCAATAAAGGGACTCAGATAAAAAACGTACTCAAGTCATCGTCATTCGATCTTAGACAATTCAAGGTAGGTACTATAAAAATATACTTGATTAATAAATATTTTTAATTAATCGTCTATTTACAACGCAATTAAAAACACGCAACATTGTATACCACGGACCTATTATTTAAACGTATTTATGTGCTATCAGAACAAGATTAATGTGGACAAAATAATCTCTATTGGATTTTCATTTGGAGGAGCAACTGCATTGTACAATGCGAGCAAAGACAGCCGTTATCAGTAAGTGGCTTCATAAACAGTTTACAATTTTGTTAAATTGAATAATTTTAATTATGTGTGTTTGTTTGTGCTATTCACTAAAAATTATATCTAGATGAAATAGGTAATCTGATCATTTAACGCAATACTTTTTAATCTTTCATTTTGCTCAAGCATTACTTAAGCATTAAGTATTATTAAGGTTTAAATAATAACAATTATATATATATATTTTACGGTTACGATAATACAACTTTTATAAGTTGAAATATATTGTAAAGATAATACATAGATTGGTTCTTACTAGTGATGGAGAAAGTCCGGATTTACCAAAATTCGAAAATCTTGATTCTTGAAATTGAAAATCTGAAATCCGGATTTTATTCTAAATTTGAAAAATTTTGAAAAATTTAATTAGTATTCTTTTATGAATGACTTATAATACAATTTTGATAACTATAAATATTTTGTAATAAATTTATTTTTTATTTAGAATACAAAATTGGGAGCCCAAATTTACTTTTTAAAAATTCGGGACTTTTTAAATCATACCTTTACTTGTTATGTAAACCGGTATTAAATATTTAAAGGGAGTAAGGGTGTAGTCCCCCATAATTCAAACGTTTGGTACAATTTGGCTATAATACTAAATAAAAGTCAATTTTTAATTTTTAAATAGATTCCAGAGTTTTGTACCTGGCATTTTTTTTTTTTTTTTATTATTGATTTTATTTCTAAGCCATTAAAAATATTATAAATACTAATATACTTGAATAGTAGATTATCTTAAAAGATAGTTTTAATTTATTTTTCAGATTTTTGTTAGCATAATAAAATAAATATTATTTTATTTAGATATTATCATTTGTCAATAATTTAAATTTTAAAATGTTAAATTATAAGAAAAAATTTAATTTTTTAAATAATTTTCAAATTAGGTATATACGTGATGGGTAATCCAAAATACGGGATAATAGAGTCTAATTTTTAAACCAAAATCCATAGTTCTGAAATTCAAAATCCGGATTTTTGAACAACACGGAATTAATTCCCATCAATAGTTTCTATGTGCACAAATTGTTCTTCCTAAATAAATTGTGCATAGATACTATTTTTTTTACAGAATTAAATCATTTTTATTAAATTCCAATTAAGAGCCAAATTAATAAATTATGAGCGTAACATGTGGAAAAGGGAGTTCCATTAAATATAAATTACGTATTTTATTTCCACAATTTTTTTATATGAAAACTATTAATCCTTATGAATAATTAAAAATATTAATAAACGTATTGAAACAACAAAAAAAAAATTACTTGATATCTTTGAAATGTTGCTAGGTATATACCGAGTTAACACCCTATCCCATATAAGGATATTTTACTTGAAAATAATTAGAAATCAAGCTTATACATCTAAAAAAAAGAACTTCAAGTTATATTTATTTTTCTGTATATGACTATGATTACTCATAAGTTATTAAATTAAACCAACATAAATGTAGAAAAAAGTAACCAACATAATATGATCTCAATAAAAATGACTAATGGTTTTTTTCTATATATTTTTAAAGAGCTGCAGTAATTCTTGATGGCTGGATGTTTCCATTAAAATCAGAACCATTCCTTGACATACAGCAACCATTATTATTCATCAACTCCCACACATTCCATAATCCAGCAAATTTAAATTCAATTAGCAAGTATGTCCATTCCAAAGGCGTTCGACAACTGTATACGTTGAAGAATACTACCCATGAAAGTCCGACCGACACACCTTACATATACGGATACTGGCTCGATTTAGTTATGTTGAAGAAGATGGATGCAGAAATAGCATTAAACCTACAGTGTTCTCTTGTAGTGAAATTCTTAAGAGATATGATTGGTACGTAAATCCTTTTTTCACAAATAATTTTTATTTTTTCTGCGGCTTTGTGTATTTTTCACAGGTTACCCAAGTGATTGTGATAATGCTCAAACATTTTTTAAAGAACACAATGATGATTTAGTTGAAGACGTAATTAGCTATACCAAAGTAAATATAAGAAAAATGGGTATATTTCCTTGGTAGAAAATATTTATTTCCTAAATTTGATTGTGTAAAATATGAATTATATTAAATGTTAATGTTGTGATGTTTAAATTAAATATTAAAACTACAATTGTTTGATAAGTTATAGAATAAATATGCATTTTTTTAAGTGAAGTGTTTTTATCAATTAAATCATAAAATAAAATGCACTTAAAAAATATATTTTGAAGTTATAGCCAAGCAGAAGTAGAGTATCTGTGCATAAAACATGATTATTTTATAAAATATTACCTTGACTCCAAACAAAAGATATTTTTTATATCAAAACTTTGATTATAAGATGATTTTTTATTTTTGAAGTAAAAAATAAATCATATTAGATATGAGTAGATGCTATGATTTTCCCTAATAGTTGTAATTTAAACAGCATATTACTATCTATAGACAACAGATAAATTGAATAACTATTAACATAATATTCATATTATGTCTGTATCTGTACATAGAATTATACGCCCATAGGTGTAGATCTACATAAACTATATATATATATATATTACAAGAGTGGTATATAAAATGATCAATAAATAAATAAGTTAAACAATATGTGGTAATGACACTCATGAATGAGGTAGCTGATGCTGGCCTATATCTGGTCTTTTTATACTAATACCATTATAAAAATAAATTACAATATGTCATGTGTTTTATAATAAATTTGTTTTTATAATTTTACTTAAAAATTTAATCAAAACATATGAGATTAACAAATGTTATCTATTGACTGAAGTAAAAAGTCTATGACACCGAAGTTGTGAAACAAATTCAAATGCATTTGCTTTTTCTCTTTCTTCATTTTTGGGTTTACTTGTATAAAACATGATAAATGTTATCCTTACATCCACTCTCATTAATAAATATGCAACCTAAAAATAATATAAATATAATATTTTTAAACACGCAATTATGAAATAATCAAAATATTATTGTTAAATAATAAAATATTAATTAATAGGATAAAACAGCAAAAGTCAGTTTTAAATAAAAGTAAATAGATGAATGTAAGATAAAAACTTAATATGATTTTATAACATACATTTTCCAGGGTAATCAATTCAATTTTATTCATTGTGCTTTCTTTGTTATTATTTTCTGATATTATTTTTTCTAATACATCTAATTTAACCGGAACCTAAAATACATAATATATAAAATTATTTAATCAATAAATATTAAAAGTAAAAAAAATTAAAGTTAAGAACTTAGTACCTTTGGAAAACTTAACATTATTTGATATTTAATATATGGATCCACTAAATCTCTAACAGGACTCCAATATCCAGGACCTCTATAATTAGAGAGTTCAGATGTATCAAATACCAATAACACACATTGAGCTTCAGATTTTTTTTGCAATTGTTGCATCCTAAAAATGTACCAAAAGTGGAATTTGATTTACTACAATACAAAATACCAAATTTTTCTATCAGATGAAACATCCTAGGATTATAGCTTACACCAAGTATAAATTAAAGCAGATTAAACAAATTAAACTAAAACTATACACTTTTAACAAAAAAAAAAAATAAATAAATAAATAACAATAATTAAATGCTGTAAAAACTAGACATTTAAGGTACTTATATCAGATTACATTTACTTCGTAAAAACATATACAATACTTTGATTATAGGAAATAATGAATAAATGATGTTAAAATAATATAACTTATATATTTACTTAACACTAGAAAAAGTATGTGAAGTATTAGTTTAATAGTAATGTGTTATTAGAGTAAAATACTCTAAACATTTTATATAATCTTTGATAAACATATATAGTATTTTTAAAATGTGATTTTTGGATATTTTATTAAAATGGTTTTAATTTTAACAAATAAAATTGAAATCTACTACTTTTTAATCTATGTTATAATTTTATAGAAGTAGAATAATTTAATTAAAAAATATTTTTACTTACTTAGTAAAAAATTGTAGATTGCAACTATTACATATATTTTTCATTTCTTGTAATGTTGATTGTTGTAAAAGTACTCCATAAAAATATAATGTAAATTTTGAAACTGTCATAAGTTTAAACCTTTTGAACCATAAAACCAATGCAGGTAAAGTATTTTTACTCATAAATAATGAGCCAAATCTCCAAGTCTAAAATGCAAAATAAAATTTGTAATTTTAATATAGGGTACAGTTTAAATCATTGGCTCTTATATGATATAATATGATATATTATTATTTGTATTTGAGTACCTCAATAGTAAATCAATATAAATCAATGGTAAGTTAAATTATTTATATAACCAACAGGTTCATTCATCAGAATAATAAATGCTTTAATATAAATTTCATAGAAAAAATATAATTTTTAAAAAGAATGGCTTCAAATATTTTCTAAAAATTTAATTTTTCTTGCACTATAAAGTTGATACAATAATCATCATCATCATCAACAGCTTAACAGTCCATTAAGGAACTGTGCTGCCACTAGTGAGCCTCTCCATTTGTTTTTGTCCAAAGTCCAGTCTATCATTGCATTCGCTTCTATCAGTCTTATATCATTTTCTACTGTGTCTTTCCATCTTGTTCTTGGTCTTCCAAGAGGACGTTTTTTATTTATTTTACCTATTAGAACATTTTTAATAAATCTCTATCAGCTCTCAACACATATCTCAGCCACTCTAGACATTTATATCTTATATATGTAAGTATATATAGTTTGATACAACAATAGCTCACATAAAATATAATTTCAATGAAAATAATATAAATATTCACATTAAACAATTTAAACAATTATATGCCTTTTTCGGGAATTTTTATTATTTTTCTACATTTAAACATAATTTTATACTTTAGAGAAAAAAAATTAATTGATTATTTTGTAGAAAGAAACTATAGGTCAACTTAATATGTTACCATCTCAATAATTTATAGTAAACACCACAAAATATTAAAAATTATGATAAAATATTATAAAATGCATTTTACCTCTTTGTTTTGATAACATTTTTCCCATAATATAATTGCATCACTTCCTTTCTTCAAGCTAAGCAATGATTCTAAATACAACCAGTTTTGTAAATGTTCATGGCATTTGAATAAATGTTTCATGCAATCAAGTTCATAACTAAAATAAAAAATATTTTTCATTTCTATAGAGTAAATATTAAAAATCTAACAACACAAACATTTATTGTTACCATCTATTATATAATTATGTAATGTAGGTAAATCACTATTTAAATTTTTTATTCTATGACCTGATAGCTTAAGTTAAAATAGGTCAACCAAAATAATAAAATATTATAAAAAAATTATCTACTATAGAAAACAGTTCAGAATTTAAAATTTTTATGGTTTTGAATTAAATTTTCCAAACTGGGGTCTACGAGTATACCCAAGGGAACCAAGAACCACATATTTTTTAACTAAATTATTTAATATTAATATTTAATTTGTTTTAATATTACAACACTTATTTTCATCATACTGAAAATAGTACTTTTTGAAAGCTAAAAAATGTGGTATGACAGCATAAAATGTATTCAAAATAATAATTTAATTAAAATATATAATTAATTAAATGTATTTATTTATCTCATTAATTAAAAGAAATATAATTTAGAAATAAAAGTTTAAAAAGACTATTATTTATTTTGCATTATGGTTCCGAAAGCATTTTCCCTATTTCTAAGTGATTCATTAGATAAATATTTTAGGAAACAGTTTAAAAAACTAAATTTTCTTAATATGTTTAACACATTTTATTTTTAAAATTCTAAAACTAAAGAGTCTATATACAGTAAAAGATAATGTTTATTTTTAATTATTGCCATGATCAAGATTGTATTAACTTGATGTATACTAAAGGATATATCAATGAAAATAGATGCTTTCACATAATATATAGATAACTGATGGAAACCAAAAATGTTCTCTGAATATTTATTTAATTTACTGTAATATTCTAAGTACTCCATCAACAGGTGGTAGATTCTGAAATTCATTTTGGATCCTTTCAACAATTTCCACTAACTCACCAAAATTGATGTAATTGTTAGATAATCCAATTTCATAAAGTTTATCATAAAATTTAAGGAGTTCGAGTCTAACGGATATATAGTACAGAAGTGAAGTAATCAATTTTGTGACAAAACTATCATCAACCTCAGCTTGAAGCTTTTCAAGGTCTTGAAATAAGGTTTTATACACAAAATCAAGATAGTTCTGAAAAAAAAAAATAAGTATTTAGTTTAATATGCATACATAAATATTTAACATATTTGTAAAATACTTCATCTTCCTTCCGTGCAAGCATTTTATTTTTTGCAGGTTCAAAATTAGTATCGGAATAGTTTTTTTCAGCCAAGGCAAAATCACACAGGATGTCAAACAGTGATTTGGGCCAAACATTATTTAAAGATACTGAACGTTGTTTCTCCTGAAAAACCAATTTCCAAAGAATATAATTAAAATGTTATACAACTCGGTTACAAAAATTACCATGAAATCTTTTGCTTTGTCATAATTAGATTGAGACAACTGAGCGAAGAAAGTACGAACAATCTCTTCTTGAGACTTTTGCATTTTGATAATAGTGTTTATTCAATATCAATTAGCTAATAACTTATGTTTGTATTTCAAAAACATCAACTGAAAATAAAAACCAATCAAGGCATTTACAAATCAAATAGGAAAACAAATCCTTAATGAATCACAATTATTTATAACTAGGACTGGAATTTTAATGCAAATGCATATTCTTTTCTAATGTACCAATACGTAGGTCGTAAGCAAAAAATATGTTTCAAGTGATACTGATTAATTAAATGTAGTTTATTCTTTTTTTTTTTTTTTACATTATAAGACAAATTTAATTTTAAATTCATTTTTAGTAAATATTTCGCTTTTTTTAAGTCATTTTTTAAGTTTATAGAGCATTTTCAGAATTCATCTATTAATTATTATATATTAGGGTATATACGTAACAGCCCATGTACATGTAAATTATATTATTTGTTTATGTATATCTTATAAAAATAGAACAAAATTAAAATAGCTGAAAGAAATTTTTCTATTTGCAAGAGTCCGACATAGATCAAATATAAATAAAGTTCAATAAAATATAAATATTAAACAAATAGGTACCTATTTTATTAAATAAATATAACTAAATCTGTTTGGTAACATGATTTTTATAATATAATTTTTAAACAATAACAAATACATTTTTTAACACATTTTTATAGTGCTATTTTTTTTATAATTTTTAAAGCATTTTTAAATTTATTTCTATTATTTAATGCATTAAAATCCCAACCCTAATCATAAGTAATCATCATAATTACTTACCAGTGGTAAAAATATTTTCAAAAGTATTTTTACAATGCCTATTGGTTTGTTATGTTAGTAGGTACTTTGTATCAAATGCCAAATGGATCGCTATTGTTACTCCGTTTCCATAATGAAATATTAACATTGATAAACTATTGTACCAATACACATAATGTTATAGTTTATGCATAATGTCAATTACTGTCACCCTAACTCACTTTTAGATTTTATGTTAATTATTATCTTTCCTGTTTTCATCGACTATTATTAATATTAGATTAAATTTAATCTATTCTGTGGTTACACTATCAATGGTCGTAAACGCCTTAACCACAGATAATATGAAATATTGTTATTTGATAGGATCACAAATTTTCATTCTTGAATTTTTTTTTTTAAATATTTATTTTTCAGAGAATTCCGACGAACTACGTTCTTGTGGGTTGTATGACGGAATTAACATGCTTCGCATTGTTTAATGTAGTACGGAAAACGGTTTTACATTCTCACACGTTACTAGTTTAACACATTTCAACTTTTTCGAGTTTTATTCGTTATATACGACTCCACGTTAATTTCTTTAACATCATATTTAATCCCACTTCTCTATGTCGAAGAGTATTCAGTATATCACCTATAAGCATGTAGTGATATAAAATATTTTTTGGAAAACTTCACTGCTTATCATTTAACAATCATGTACGTTGTGTAGCCTACGCGGGCTCTGTAATGGGGTTATAGAGCCTTCGCCCGTCATTGGTCACAAGCTTTTTGGTTTTAATACTCGGACGGCTTTTTTCTGTCTTTATAATAATTATAAAAACAGAAACAAGTCGTTCATTGTCACATGTCAATACACTGAAATGGCTCATACAATTTTATGATATTGTTGTCAAATTGGTTTATCCGCATTCAAATTTTGTGCATTAACATGTGTTCTTATCTTATCTTCATTAACAAGCGATAAGTGATAAAGAAAAAAAATTTGATATTTCTCATAGCACCCGGTCTAAACTTAATGAAGAATTCATCCCAATAAAGTTATGAGAATTATTATTGCTATCTGTTTTGATTTTCGTCAAACTCCGGTGGATTCTTTTAGATAATATTACTTCACAAATTCAATCAAACAATGTTTTTTAGACGTTTAAAACTATCCCATACTCGGTGTTTTTTACCAGCATTCATCTTCAATAAAAACGAATTTGACGAAGATGGAACCGAAGTGTTAGACCGTAAAAAGGTTGGCGGTTGGCAAGGAGTTGTGAATACGTTTTCACCTGAGTAAGTCTTCTTCTATAACTAATTTTAGTTATCATTTTAAGTACATTTTTTTATTTCAGTGAGGATGGTAATCCTACTGCAGACGTGAGAGCCATAATCGCAACAATAAGTTATAGTGCCTTATTAGGCGGTGCTTATGGAAGTCTGTCATATAGTAAAAGAGCTTATCTAGATTTCTTTCAAAAAAACCAATCAACATTGTTCAAAAATCAGTTTGAAGCTAAAGTATTAACTATAATGATTTTTGATTAAAATTTCTACATTTAAAATGTTTTTACAAAATATGTGAACTCATATGATATTAATTTTCTTATTATTTCTTAACTGTTTTTCATTTATAAGTAATTACTTTGCTCATAAAGTACCAAACATAAATAATTTTAATAATAAAAATATTTATTATTATTACAACTAACTTATATGTACGATAAATGATTTTGAAAAAAAAAATTCTAATCTCACATTATTATTTTTAGTTTACTATATGATTTTGAATACTTTTATATTTTTAGGCTAAACTTCAGTCTCAAGTAACACTAGCATTATGTAAAGGTGGATTTAAATGGGCAACCAGAATTGTTTTTTTCTGTGGACCATTTACGTAAGTTTTCACAATAATTTATTTTAAATATAATTGTTATAAAATGTCTTAGTAATAGTTATAATAATTATGTATAATTTAGCTTTTAAAACAAAAAAATACTTGTAAATTTGAACAGTTAGATTAGATTAGGTTACAACTAAATATTATAAGTTTTTCATTTTTACGCAACTATCATTACTACCAAATCATATATTTCTGAGCATAGCCCCTAGTATGAAAGTTGACAATAGGAATTAAACAGTACACATTGTACCAAATTCATACATTTTTTAGTTGAATTTAGAAGTATTGAAAGTTGAAAAGTTATAGTTTTTGATAGAGACTAATACAATTAGACTTAAAAACCATGTACTTTACAGGTATAAAATGTTACAATTAATCTAAAGAGTAATAAATTATTAAAATTGTAATTATAATCAGCATTTTTTAATATTTCATTATAGATCTTTTTATGTATATTATTTTCAGAACTATAGTAACTGCTCTTAATGCTTATTTGAATGAAGTTTCAGTAATAAGTTACGCAACAGCTGGTTTCTTTGTTGGTGGATTTGCTAGAATGTCTTTTGGTTTGAAAGGATTTGTTGTTGGATCTACTTTGGGTAAGTTTTTTTTGAATAAATATAGTAGTTTTGTTATTCTTAATTGCTTGGTTGCCATATATTTATAAGGCGAAACCGAGACAAAACAAATACATTATTGAGTAACATACTTTTCATATAACTTTTAATATATCGAGAGGACCAATGGCATATATAAGGGAGAGATGTGGCGATCGGATTCCCCTAGGCCTTTTTTTAAATTTTATAAAATAATATTCTTAATTTGAGGGCGTTAGAAACGTAAAAAAAATAATGATAAAATTAAAGTAATTATTTGTTTGCTAATGCTCTCTCCCTCATACAAAAGTTATGTATACACTACTGAAGAGGACCATTAATGGCCGGCAATATAATATTTTAAAAATATTTTCATAAAATAAAATATATATTTATATGTATAAATTACAAATTATGTTTTTATTATATATTGTCAATCTATTATTATTAAAAATGTACTTTGAGATAAAATAGTCGAAATTAAAAATGAAACAGTTCTGCATTTCCTTTAAACATCTATGCCAAGATATATGGATGTCCTGAAAACATTTTTCAGGACACCAGGATACAAAGTCCAAAACCGGTGACAATTCTGGTTTTCGAGGACATATGGCAACCCTAGTTATTCAATATATAGGACTCTATGAAACTAGGTACATAAAAAAAATGTTTGGAATATGATAAAATATATTTTCTATTTTGTTTTTTTGTCATGGTTGTTTATTTTTATTATTGTTGACCAACAGTATTGATATACTTTAAGTATCGCAAATAAGAAAAATAAAGTTGACATTCTTATTCTAAAAACATATTTACAAAATTGTCTTTCTATTAATTAGTTATTATATTTTTAGTTTATAATCAGCTTGTAACTAAATGTTGATATTAATGATACTATAATTTTTTCAGGATCAATTTTAGGTATCTTTGTTGGATTTTGTACATTATTAATTTTAAAGTTTTCTCCTGTAACTATGGATGAGATAAAACAATGGCAAAGTGATTCTTTAACAGATAGAGAAAAGTATGTATAAAAATATTTTTTATAGAAACTGTTATTAAAATATTTCTTTGTTTTTAGATATTTTATTAAGGAGCAAAAAAAATCAACAGTATTCCAATATGATGAACCTGCTGAGCTAATAGAACATGAAAAAAGATTACAACAATCAAAAACTGTTTTGAATAGTAAAGTTGATAATGCATAACTCAATCAAGGTATAACATTTATTTTATGTACATACATGCATATATATATATATATATATATATATATATACACACACAACAAATATACACTTAAAAACTAGAAAAGTATGATACATTATTTCATAAATAATTAGTTTATTGCTATACACTAATTAATAAACAATAAGCTTATTACTATACATAATACAATTGAGAAGTATGATGAATTAATATTAGCTAGTGATGATACATATGGATGTGCACCACCAACAAATGGCCACAATTTACCCATTGTAGATATCATATTAATGTGACTGTCATTTTTTGTATCCAAAATATTGTAAACTGATTCATTTAAATTTGCATGCAGTAATTCAATATCTTCAGGATATATAAATGAAACTAATTCATTTCCATTGTAGTTTCCACACTTAGGAAAACTTGGAGGTGGGGGTGGCATGTCCCAATCTTCACCAATTTTAAATACAGTAGCCATTCCTACTTCAACATGGAATTCGATATGACAATGAAATAACCAATAACCTGCAAATTTACTATTTAGTTTAAGCTTTTTAAAGTATTTAATATTTATAACAAACCAGGATTATCTGCTAAGAATCGAAGTATTGTAAATCCACCATCTGGTACTGTTACAGTATCTTTTAGAGGTGCAGATCGTAAATTTCTTTCAATACGTCCTTCTCTATCCATTTGTTCTATCTCTTCTACTGTAGTATGGTTTCCTACTCTTTCCATCGCAATGACTCTAAACGGATGTCCATGTAAATGGAATGGATGATTTGCATTGTATGTTACTCCTTAAAATTGATGCAGCTATTTAGTTAAAATTAATAACTCCCAATTTTTATGTTTACCTTTATCAATGAGAAAAAGCTCAACTATTGACCCCAAAGGAACTTTAATAATATTTGTACATTCACAAAATTCTTTTGAGCAATCTTTCTTTATGTTTTCACAGCTCATTGAAGGTTTGATCATTTCTCTTTGAGATAATAATGGAAATGATTGTAGTTTAAAAGTCATTTTATTAATTTGAGGTGTATAAACACGAGCCGACTTGTGTGACACTAAACAATATGAATTTATTATATATTACAAATGATAAAAATTCAAAATGATTTAATCCTCTAAATTTTTTAATCATTTTTTATATCTATCTTTATTTACAAACCTTGTTTGAATCCATACAGTGTAGGTTTATGAAAATGTGGATTATCTAAAGAATAAAAATCGTACGACATAAATAATGTTAAGTCTGGTTTATTCTCTAATCTTAAGTCTTTTTTTGGAGGTGTTGCATCTTCTAATTCTGATACAGTAGCAGTATCCATTTGTCCTGACCCTTTATTCAATGCATTTAATTGCTGCAATAATTATTTATATTTAACATTAACTTACAATATATCTAAATATTTATAAATATGTAATTTAACTTTGTTATACTTACGATTCCAGAATAAAGTGAATTGTCATATGTTGGTATGTCTTCTGGTTCCCCATCACTACTTCCATCATAATGTAAAACTGCCACTTCAAAGGCCTTTGTGAAACGTTCATCACAGTCCATCAAACCTTTAAATCGCATCCAATAGTTTCCAATATTAGCAGTTGCTTCTACTACAAAGTCCCAACGCTCGCCAGCATAACTTACAAATGAGTCAACTGTAAACGTGTATATACATATATTAGTAATTTGTGTTAAAGTAAACAATTGTTATTTTAGTATATTTTTAATCTAACTATTTTATTCACCTACTACTGGTTGAACATTATATCCGTCTGTAGCAATCACTGTAAACGTATGGTTATCAATACTCATTGAAATTGGACAGTTCAGGAATCCAGCGTTAATCAATCTAAACCTATATCGTTTCCCCTAAACAATTCAAAACATTACAACTCCCGTTCAAAAACATCATTTGCCCTGGCACCACCCCAGCGTGGCCGCTGCGCTGCGACGCGTGTTTTCGCAGTCAACTCACTCTGGTCACGTCGAACCGGGCCAAGGGCGTGCGGTAATCGCCCTGGAACTTTTTGAACCGGCCCCGGCCGTTGATCAACAATGTCTCAGGCTTGTTGTCGCCGGAACCGTGGTAGTGGGCCAGGAACTTGCGGATACCCAGCTCGTGCAGCCAGTCGGTGACGGTGAGCACGTGCTCGTCCACGTCGTACATGTCCCTGTGCACGTCGCGCTCCTTCGGCGCCCGCACGATGAACGAGCCGAATGCGCCGTCGCCCCGCTGGCAGCCGGAGTGCGAGTGCCAGAAGTGTGTGCCCTCATTGTCCGCCTTGTACGCGTAACGGAACGAGCTGTGCGGCGGCACCGGACACTGCGTCACGTACGGCACACCGTCCATGTACGGCGAGTTGCGCTGGTGATGCCCGTGCCAGTGGATGGACGTCGACTCCTCCATCATCGCGTTCTCCACGTCCACCACGATCGTATCGCCCAAACATACCTGTGGGCGCGCAAGCCGACGGGATTAGTGTTCGTTCGTCGGTTAGGGGAACTATTTATTTGAAATCTCCCCTATCCCCCTTCCACCTTTCGTGTGACCCGTTACACCGAATCATTAACGTTAAGTAATCGTAGTGGGTGCGACGCGCGCGGGCAGTGGATGTTTGGTTTATTTTTTTGGTGGTTGGGTAGACCGAAACTTGGCTTCGAGATATCTATATCGTGATTCTGCTACGTATAAAAATATTGAAAATAAACTATAGAATAATTCAGCCATTAGCTTATGTAAAGGTAACTGACAAAATGCTAATGAGTATTTTATCTTCCATAACATTTCAGACAATTTAAAACGTTTGCCTGTAATTGCGGCATATTAAAAAATGCTTTATTATATTAATTTATATTTGTTTACTAAAGTTTATTACTGAGTCCCAATGTGAATACCTAAATGTCAATACTTTGTACAGCATAAATAGTACGTATTTATAATAAAAATTTGTGTTTTATGTATTTAAATATAATTCTATTTAATAATTAGCCGAGAACTTATATTTTATTTAAATTAATGTTCAAATACTTTAATATTAAGTTGAAGAAAAAAAATTGAAAATCTTATTTAATATGAAATTAATTTTATAGTTATAATTATCAACAAAGTTATAATATTCTATTTAAGGTTAGGACAGATCCTCCGTGGGTCCGTTGTTGAAAGTGACTTGGTAGGTGGGTGGTATTTTTCCATTGAATGTACTACCCCTATTTACTTTTGTGTGTGCGCCACTATATAGGTCAGTGACAGGGCCGTCCTGAAGATGAAAATCAAGGGGGTTGAATAATATGAAAAATGCCGACTACAATTTTTTTACTCAATGTATGTAGTATAATTAATTATATGTAGTCGTATTTTTACTTTTTAACATGTATATATGTGTCAGTGTCGCACGTTATTAAAATTGACAATTTTATTACATATATATATATAATATTTCATATTGCAAATAATAATAATATAAGTAGTTATATAAATTTTTTTCGTGTATACACTGTATTACAAAATATGTAATATTTGTTTTCCGTAAGTAAAATTAGGTCCTTCTAGGGCCTAAAATCTAGGATATAATGAAACAAGTCCGACTGCCGTCTGGTGTTTTTGTTGAAGGGTGAGATACCCCCCAAGACCCCCTCCGGGACGGCCCTGGTCAGGGAAGCAATACAACCCGGTTCGGCTGGGACAGTATTAATTTTTAACATGGCATACCGATATGTCCCAATAAAGTGTTTCGGGACGGCTAAACGTTCCAGAATGAAACTAAAAATTGTTAACATTTTATCTTTTATTAAAAAGTTTGGGCTTTATTGATAGAAGCATGTTTTGACAATATGACAACATTATAAGATAATACTTGCCATAAAAACGTTGCTTTAAAAAGTGCACAGTTGAACCCAGTATACATAACAACTTAGACTTTTCGGTCGATGGAAAACTAATTGTACATCTTATTATTGTTTATACTTTCAATTTTAAATTAATTTTAATTTTATAAATTTCTAATTTATTGCCAGTTGAGTAGATATATGATAAAATGTTTAACAATATAAGAGGTGGGCAATGCGTTTATTTTATATAAAAAAAAATTTATCCCGGTTTTCGCAAAATAAAATATGATATTCCTACTATAGGTACCTATATAGTGACATGTAGTACTCATAACGTAGTACAGCAGATATAGGCGTTCGTCTATAAACAACGCGTGCAGAAAAATACTATAACAAGTATATTTAATCATATAGTCGGTATGCTTTATGTCGCAATCGTAGAATAAATCAATCGTGTACTGAAATAATGAATGTTTTGTAATCTGCTAAATCTTTAATTACAATTTGTCAGTTGTTCAGTAAAGCCGTTAGTAACAGTAATTCAATTGACCAGTAGATTCCGATATTTTGGCATTCAAAAAGTATTGTGCAAATGGTCTAACAATTTTCCTAGGTTTCACTTAAATACGTAGATGTTATCGTAATCTCGGTTGCCCGTGTTTCGTAATTTTTAAAGAAATCGTATTTCGTGTACTGCAAATAATGATGGATAATAACACCGTCGGAACCAACGGCGTGCGTTAAAATCTAATATATGTGTGTTAACTGAAATATGCACCTATCGACGATTTATCGGTTTTTAAGATCCCGGCCATTTGGAAATAAAGATACATCGGTAGAGCGCTGTGCAATTATTGTTAGCCATGGGCAAAATACCCGAGTTTGTCCTAGGTCCAATAACCATAATCTCTCAGCGTAACACGAGCCGTTCGTCGGTAAACCGAAAACAACTTTTCGAATCGAATATACTTCGACGTTCGCGTGTTTCAGAATAGCGATAAAAGACGATCTAACGTACCATTGCAGTCAATTACACGCACGAAAATCTATTTTCGACCGTCTATTCGTATAGTAAATAGGTGACGCGTGCGTTCTTCGAACAGGTGACCAAGGACATTCATCTCTTGTTTTCTCCCTCTATATTATAATATTGTTCTCCCCAATCACGCGAATAGAAAAAAAAATTCCATTACTATTAAAAGTCAATATGACGGGCAACTGTGTCCGTACAGCACTACACACCGTCTATATATTATAGGTTCGTATTATAATAAAGGTATACAGGGTGACTCACCGTGATATCCCGATGGAATTATCTCGGTAGATATTATGTATGTAGTAAGCCCAATATTTAAGCGGCTACATTCAACATTTAAAGTCAATTTTATTACTGATTGAGTAAAATAACTTTTAAATTTTGAGTTTCTATAAAATTACAGCATATAAAAGTTTTGGTACAATAGTTGATTTTCGATGTATCGTAATCGAAGATTGAATTATTGATCTTACAATTAAATCGATTGTAAATACATAGGAGATACTAATCCGAATTAATACAATCTAATTGATAAATTAGATAGGTAACCGATTTAACGGTTTAAAATAAACCGTCATTTACATGTACTTTATAGTCAATTAGCGTGTCCTACAGAGGTATTGAATGATGCATGGAATTCTATTTTAATCATATATTAACGTAATTGACGCGTAATTAAGAGTATCTCATTTCCCATCGTACACCTAATCATCTAATTTATTACAACGGTCATAACCACCGAAAATTTACTTTGATTATGTATAATTCGTTTTTTCGATCGCTATTCGTTGAAATGTTCATATTGACTACCTAGTATATATCTTGTAATTTTATAGAGATTAAAAAATTCAATGGTTATTTTTGGTCAATTTCTACTGAACTGTAACAGAAAAAATTAACACGTACGGATGGATTTCCATCACGGTGGGTCATCCTGTATATTATTGTATTGTTCAACGTTTTCGCCGCGCCCGTGAACATCTACACGCTGTTCTGTCCTCGCGCATAGATTAAATATACATAATATGTTTTTGAACGTATATTTAATCCATGCCTCATACGTGTATGGTACTTTTTAATACGGTCGCGAGTGGGACTTGGAACACACGTCCAAGTAACTTTTCTGCGTGACAGAACGGGAAAGTTAACCAAGTTAACTCACCGGGAAAGTTCGGAGTCTCGTACGCGCATCACACCGCCCGTAAGTACACCGCGATCAATCTATACGGCTATACTGTTGTACAATTATTACCTGTATGGAAGGTCCCGGCAAACTTCTATTTATTACGATAATGGGCCTTTCAACGCCGTCGGCCGGCACGCAGTCGGGTCTATAACAATCGGTCAGGTTGTACGGGCAGTCGTAGCACGCTTTGCTCATTGTGTAGTACCATTCCACTTTGAAATGGTACTCGCACGTTTTCGGCGGTTCGTCCGCGCGACATTCTCTCTGGCAAGGATGGATTTGTCCATCTGTCTGTTCCGCCGCTGACGTCAAATGCAGGACACTGCGTAACAATACAATAACGGTTGCGTACTGTGCTTTCATTTTTCGTCCTTTTTCATCTCATACGCCGAAATGAATAATAATCTCTAAACCGGCGCCTGGAACAAACGTCACGTTTTTGTAACGCACATGCTATATATTTTATGGGTACTGATACGCCGTACACCAAGCGTGTTGTTATTTTTGTGTTAGCGAACGTTTCGATCGAAGTAAAACAAAAAACATCAATTTTCAGGTAGATATAAGAAAAGTCTACGCTTGATGTTCGTACGATCATCGTATAGGTATTTATCAAGACCAAAACCACAATTGTCATCGGTATAAACAACTATTTGAAAATAAAAGGTGAACAATTAAACTTTAGTCTTTGGAGAAAATTACGCAAATATGTGGTACGATATGGATTATAAAATATAATGAAATATTAATCAATAAATCAGGACCAGTAAAATTAGAATTTTGTTAAATATTTACTTTTTATTTAATTATATATTATACAGTTATAGTAATCTAATTATTAACATAAGCTTATGAATATAAAGCATAAAATTAAAATCTTAAATTTGAAAACCATACTGAAACCGATTAAAATAGTAGACATTTTGCAAACAACAATTTTACCAATTGTCATATTCCACATATTTTTCGGCTTAAAAATCCGGGCCTTTACGATATGATAAACGTATTAGCATATGGAAATAAAACGAAAACTTTTAAAATTTGCATTTAAGAAAAATGTCGATTAAATTCATTATATTTCAGTGAGGTTTTTATAATTATGTACAATACCTACCCGTATAAATAAATGTTTCGAAATTTACAAAAATCTACGAAATAAGGTGAATAATAAATTAGTACGAAACGTATAATATCAGTTTTTAAATATTAATTTGTGAAAAATTATATTCACGCAAAATAGTATGCTCATTATGACGTACCTAATACATAACTATCAGTGGTGGTTTTGATAAAATATCAAGGGAAGGGGGCTATTTTCAATTTACTGTAATTTTGTAAAAAAAACCCAAAGTTTGAACATATATCTTGAAAAAAATAAGACGAACAAAACATAACGCTGATATAAAAAAAATCCAAGGAAAAGCGGAAAACTCAGGAAGAAAAGAGGAATTTGTAGTGTGCAGAATTGTAATTATTCTTAAGCTTGGTTCACACGATGATATATGATGCCGTGACATTCAAAATTTGATGCCACAGTGTCGAGTATCGTGTGCTGTCCACATGTAGTTAAATATTTATGTAAATGTAAATACTAAAATTATGGTTGTGATAAGTATTTGTTATCTTTATATTCCACTTCACACGCTTTGATTTTTATTCAGAGTTTGTTTTTGTTTAGTTAAGTACCCGACATTTTTCAAAAGATTCTAAGCAAAGTAATTATCAAATGTTTATATTTTTTTTCTATTATTTTTTTTAGTCTATTAGTTTTTTGTGCTCCAAAATCTGCAAGTAGACCGAATAAAAAATAAAAACCATTTCTACTGAGTAATAAATATTAAGTAAGGCTGTCTCCTTAAAAAAAAAAATATATAATATTGATTAAATTATTGAAGCTCTAAAACTTTTAATGAATATATTACTTTATTAATATTTTTGGTACATTTTGAAACAAATTTAATCATGATATAGTCAAGTATAAAATTGTTTACACTTTTTAAGTATAAAAAATTCGCTATTTAGTCAAACTTGAATTAAACATTGAATAAATACTAATTTATAACTATTTATACTATTATTCATAGATCTTAAAAATCATTGGCACCAAGTTAAGTTTTTATACTTTATAAACTAGAATGTATTCATTATGATGATATTATTGCAAATTATATTTTATAAAATAGTCATGCGTGTATACCTAACATTATAAAAAATTAAAACCATTAATAAAAAGTGATTTTAAACCTGGCATACTTAAATTTTCATGATAACATATTACGTTATTATACATGTTAGGTACATTGCAAATTACATTGAATACACTGATCAGAGGATGAAAAATAGCGCAGATATAGGTAATAATTATACTAGCCAATCCCAGAATACATTTAAATTTCGCATTAAAAATATTTCAAAATTAATAAAACGCGTCATGGTACATTATTTTAAATGCTATGCAACGTGCTATCAAAACTTTAACGAGTAATGAAATATTTTGATGAAACAAAATTAAATGAAATAATTTTCGTGGTGTATGATCGTTATAACTTTAATGTTGCAATGATAATGTGTGTACTTATCGAAATTGTATCAATAGTAATTTTATTCATAAGTTGGATAGGTAGTTGATATGTATGCTCTACACATAGACACATATTCTTCTATACAAATAAAAGAAATCGAAAGAATAAGTCCCCTTCCCTGCAATATTTTAAGTGGCTTCTACTAAGGTAATAATTCTAGAAAATGTAATCAAACAAAATACTTTTATAGTACAAAAAAAAAAATTTTAAATATGCCCATAATAAGATTTTATGATTATTATGAATTTTAATAATAATAAATATTGTTTAGTACATATTTTCCTTGATATTTGAAATCATTATGTAAAGATATTTATAATACTATTTGTATTACAAACGAATTCATTAGGTTATAGATGATAGTAGCCATTATAATTTAAATAGTATAAAAAACATTTAACAATACATATTATTCTCTGTAATCATAGAAAATACTAAAAATAAAGTTTAAGAAATTAAAAATCTAAACCGTCAACATTACTTACAAAATTAAACTTATGTTCCAATCTTTCCGAAAAACTTAAATTGAATTTTTTTATAAATTTTTTGAAATATTTATATTTTAAACTTATTAAATTTATTGATACATGAGTTATAAGAAAACAACATAATTTGACTATCCATATGAACAGTGGATTTATCACAATAAATCCTCATGGGACACCCTGAACACTAGTATATAATCGAGTAATGATGCTTAAATTTGAAGCATAAAATTAAATATTCTTAACATTAATTAATACTAAAATATATATCATTTAAAATGCCAAAAATGAACTTAAAACTATTCAAACTCGAACAACTATTTTATAAATATTTTATAGTATGTATTGGAAGATAATAAAACACCTGACTAATTATTAATATCATAGAAATTTTAATAGTTATTTATAATGGCAGAAATTTAATATGTTAATGGCACCATCTCTACTAGCTTCCATTAATTTAATTAAAAGGAGCATACTGATATTTTTACTCTCACAATACCTACAAAATATTATTTAATTAAATATAACTAATAAACAGGGCTGGGATTTGTATTCAATAAAAATTATAAAATATGCATTTTATTTACCAAAATATGCAAAAATATGCATTTAAATTTTTATAAAATAAACAAAAAATAAAATAAATTATTTATTGAAATACATCAGTGGTTGGCAGTTCGTCTTATATTATATATAATATAATTGAGATATAAAATAAAAAAAATTGTAAATAAACTTCATGTTTGATAAAAAAATCAAGTTTTATATTTTAATCAGCAGGGCTGTAATTAAATATGAAATATTAATATTAAATTATAAATATTAATTACGAAATATACTATAAAACATTAATTTTTCACATTCTTGTTGTCAAAATATGCAATAATATTAATTTTATTTAAAATATGCAAAAACATGCAAAATAAAAATACCATCATTTAACTCATCAAGAGGTGATTCGTGGGCATTACTGATAAAATCAATAATCAAAAGTCGCAAAAAAAAACATGCTGTTGTATACAAATCCTAGCCCTGTTAATAAATAATAAAAACAAGTACTCAGACGAAAAACATGTGTTTTATTCTATTTGAATAAAAATTATATTAATATTTAATATTACTCGCGCGTATTATGTTTACCTACAATTTTGATTAAAAAATTTTGTCGTTTTGAAAACTAAAAAAAATAAATATACATTTTTATTTATATCGGTCTCGGACCTCGAATCTAAAATTCTATACTTATAGGTTAATAATTATTATTAGCGTCCTATATGTGAGATTATAAAATATCCATAACGGTTGATTATGAAAAATCATTCAAAGTCGTTTCACGTTTTTCGAACGAATTGGCTGTCTTTGAGTGTAGGACATAGTAAATGCAAAGCATAGTATATTTTAAATGCTTATACTACCTACTACTTACTAATTAATATTATATCATTCCAGTATCTTAAATATTATGCATTTTCGTATGGACACTTAAGGACGATTTTGTCCTTAGATAAAACTGTACGAGACTAGTATAAAAAAGTATTTTTTGTTTGTATTAATAATTTATTAACGATTAGCCTTGATTTACCCGAGTATAAAGTTTCCCTATTCGCTTTTCGACGTTACAATGTAAATGAGCAACAATAAATGAACGTCTTATTTAACTAAAACAATATAGAGCTTGAAGGTCTTTAAAATTAATCAGTGATCCTGTACACTTATAAGGTCTCGAAGTATGTTTAGAATAATATTATCGTAATGTACGTGGTTTAAGTACGTATATACTGTTGAGGTTCACGTACATCGAACGGTGACGAAAATATGTATATTAATACGATCGAGGGAATCGACTTTGGATGTATAGTCTAGTCAGGGGTTGCGAATTTTTTTTTGGGTCAAGTGTCAAATTTTTCCAATTAAAGTTTAGAAAATCGTTCACGTGCCCAAAGTAAATTATATTTTTTAAGGATGAAAATATAATTGCGGATTTATTACAGTATTTTTATTAAACACGAAAATTTGTTTTTTACTTAATTATTTTATGCGGTTTCTAAGTGGATAAAGTTTTGATGTTGGGAATGTACTCTGTCATTTTTTGGTGAAACACAAATAGCAATTGTTTCATCGTGAGATAAAACGTTGTCACCTTACCTGTTCTGGTGGTGGTGGTCGGTGGTGCGCTGTACAACAATTATTGTTTTCATACGACGTGAAGACGAGAACTTTTCAACGCGCGCCACGCGAAGCACACGGTGTTTACGGCGAGCAGCGTTCGGCAGCTACCTGACGGACGATATGGCCGGTCAACGATTAACGAACATCAGTTTTGAAAAATCTGCGACGGTCGTTATGATACTGCTCTATAGGGATGCCCTTGATGCAAGACGTGTACCTAGTAAACATATATATACATACATGAATACATATACGCGCACGCACACACGCACGCACACGTGCATTTACAACAGCTTATTAAAAATTCTCCATTTTAAGTTAATCGAGGAAGGGGAAATCGTTATATGTGTCCAGGTGGGTAAATACGATCTCATGACGTATCGGAATCTACATTAAACATCGCGTTGTTGCTCGAATCTGTCGGGATAAATAACTATACCGTTTATGATAATGATAATAATAATAATAAGATACCTGTCGAAAAGTGGATATAAATTAAATAAATGTGTTTATTGTAGTGCGTGCGGACGCGTTGACGATACAATTTGTTATTAATCGATTTCGAAACATTTTGTGTAATAACTAATTTTAAACGTCGTCTGGAAAACGCGGGCTTAGTGCCCTGAGAAACGAATACACGAGCGTTGTTGTTGTTTTCGGCTCGTAAAAGAGAAAATACAACATTTTATACTATTTTGTTTACAAAACCATGCGTCTAGTGCGTATTCGTATTGAACCTAAATCGTAAATACTATTGTGCACACTATTGCTTCAATGCCTATCATATATTACGTTAAATCATAATTGCCTACTGTGAGATTTGAAACACTGAGCTTTCTGTGATTCTATAATTCAGATTTTTATATATTTATTTTTTCACTTTATTTATCTTAGTTTGGGTTATCTCAATTGCTATTATTCTTAGTATTTAAATAGTTTAAATAAAATAAAAACCTTAGCGAAATTGGTACACATTCTCAGCAAAAAGCTGTTTATGTAAATACCATCATCGATTTCATAATACCATATCTATATGTTTTAAATTCAATGATATCGATAATATGTGCTCTGATATTAATATAAATTATGCAACCAACCAACTTTAAGGTTTACATAATAAGGAATGAATTTTTGTCCAATGTATGATATGTTAATTAATACTAATAATGCGATATAATTTCTGTAATACTAAATATTAAATATTTATTCTCAAATGAAAGAAACCTTGTGTAGCTTTTTTAAGAAATTTATTTCATTATTAAATTATTATCAAATAATAACAGGTTTATTTACCTTTATTTGATTTCAATAAATTTAATAAAAATTGAATCTATGGAATTCACATCAATGTAAAAGATTATAGATCGATAGCTGATTATTAGTCAAATTTAATTTGATATTTTTGGACCAACGCTGTTGGATAATTTTTTTTTAACTTATGATCTATTTTTTAAATTTTTTTCTTGTATATTTATGTAAGATCATTATAAGTAATATCTTACAATTATAATTGTTCATTTTTTATAATTTTGTTTTAAAATTTTATATTTATTTATCATTATAGGTACCTACTTATAACAAATTACTACTACCTATTACAGTAATATTTTTATTTCAAACAAAATATGGTTAACAGTTATAAATAAATGTAGGTATAAATAATTTATTATTAAGGTAGGTACTTACATAGTTGTATAAAATTATTGTGAATCTCTTTCCTTTCACTTGTTTTTTATTTTGTCATAAAATAAGTTTCATTTAATTGAAAAATATTTTATCTAGAGTGAAACATAAACATGCCAGTGCGTATATTATAATTTAAAATGTTATACCACGTACTTATATAATATTCTTATAGTATATTAGATATACTCAATCAGTGGCATGGTGAAGTGGTGTGTATTGTTTTGGAATAATTGTTCCTTAAAAATTTGGTAGTGGGTTGGTACATCCATACTAGTTTTAATCATAATATATTTAATACTGTAACTTTTAAGATTACAAACTTCTTTTTTTATATTTAACTTTATTGTTGGTTTTGCAGTTGAATACGCGTTCTCGCGCTCTCCATTCTTCAAGATTACATTATAAAAATGTAATAAATTAACTTATTAAGTATAAACAAATTACGAATATATTTATTGATATAAATAAACTTTTTAAATATTACATTTTATATTTTGGTGGGTTTTATAAAGCCTCCATAAGGGGTACCTTGAATTAATACTTAAAATTAATTCAATACCACTATATTCAGTAACAGTTTTTGATAGATTTCAATCCAATGTAGTTGATGGTTATCGAATTAAAATTTTTTTTACTATTAGTATCCTAATTTTGAGAATGTGTCATTAGACGAAAAAAATCATGCAGTTATTTACAATCTAACTGAAATTATCGAGACCATGACATTTTTTGGTATTTTTTTTATTTATTTTTTTTTTTTTACGACCATTAATTATAATCTATTGCCATTTTTCCAAATGAATTTTTAAAACATTCGAGGACGTCAACAACCATATGATCGTATGAACTCTTCTATAAGACTAATACAATTTCTCATAAAATACGATGATTAAATAATATTTAATAATAAACACACACGCACACACACACACTACGAGTGTATATACATATATAACTCTGAATAATTATTACCTACAAAACCTGATGTCAACGTGTCGCGGAACAACGGCAATGAGCGAGTCTGTCCCGAGTTTCAAGGGTAATTGTTACATTCCCTGCAGTTAGTCACGTGCTTCTCTCTGTATAAATATATATGTTGCCATTATAATAATCATTTAGCCGATGATATTCATTACAATGCTCAAATACTACTCGAAGTACGCTGAATAATTAAATCCCCAAACAGTTGTTAGTTGATTAATAATTATAGACTTTCGTTAAGGCTTCAATTAAAAAAAAATGTGTAACACACATTCTACGTATGTTCGTTTATTGAGTTCCTGGGGTCGTCTAATGCACGCGAAGATTAATGATATTGTTCCGTATTTGAATGGCATACAGGAAGTATAAGTGCTTACTGGGAATTTCTACAGCTTAGAGTGTGTTTAGTCATCATCGGGTTAGTCATATTATTCAAATCCACCGCAGGCACTATTGGAACGTATCTTATTTTATTTCAATTCTATTTTTATATTGCTCGCAATAATTAATTGTTTGTCCAGTACAAGTACACGTAGTAGTATTAGCATTGTTTCAATAAGTGCAGAGCGAGTGAATCGAGATTCGGTATCGTTTTCTGTAGATACGTAGATTATGGTTATGAAAATGATGTGAAATTCTTTGTCGCATAATACAACCGATAATGTAGTTACCATTCGTAAAAGGTAGTAAATGTTTACGCAATATCAATTATAACTTAAAAAAATCGCGGAAAACTATTAACACTGTTACATCAAACTGTGCAAACGCATAAATAATTAATTATTACTAAATCTTTCTGTATTTATTTTTAATTCAATAAAAACGATCACGATTAAACAATAAGGTAATATATATATATATCAGTGATGTAACTTGAGGTGGGGCAAGCACCCACGTACATGATATATGAATTAAACTCATTTACAATATGTTTTTATCGAATAAATAACGAATTATCTGATTATATGTAAAGACAATTTATAATAGTATTTACAAATGTAATATATGAAATTGTATAACATATGGATTAAAATTTAAAAAAGAAAATGATTAAAAACAAAAAATGTACTATAACTACGGCTAGGCGTTAGGGAGTTAAAAGTTAAAATTAAGTTAAAACGTCAAGTCAATTTTAATTAAGTTAATTAACTCATTACTTTTTTTACAAATTAACTTTTAACTTAATAAGTTACCTACTTTTTTTTAAAATTAACGTGTTAACTTTAAGTTGATTTTATTTAAAAGTATCTAAACTAAGTTAATTTTAGTACAAAAAATAATGCATATTATTAAATGAGGTTTTTATTATATTAATATGAATTTAATTTAATTTAATTTTTTCGCTGTGGACGAAAATAATATGAAAAATAACTTTAATAGTCATTATATGGGCTATATTTTATCATTATATTTTTATAACATTGTTATTGTATAAACGCTATAAACCCATGGAAATCCTAAGAATATTCTGTGAAAATAGTTAATACCATGAGAGCGAGTGTCGATGGGAGATTAATCATAAAACACTTGTGGTATAATTTCCAATTTAATTTCATTATTAAAATTGTAAATTGATTTGCGTATAAGTTTAGGACTAAGATTTATTTTAGAAAAGTAGGTTTTTAGTAGCTAGTTAATACTTTTATGTATCATTTTAAATTTCCCCAGTAATTTTCTTGAGCGTAAAAAAACTAAAATTATGTGTGCAATTTTTTATTTTTGCAAATTAGGAAATTTAACTTTAAAATAAGTTAATTTACTTTTTTTTTCAAAGTTAACTTTTAACTTAACGAGTTAACGAAAAAAATATAAGTAATTTTTAATTTAACTTAACTTAATTATTTTAAAATAACTTGTCGAGTTAAAAAAAATCGTTAATTTGCCCAGCCTTGACTATAACCATATCATTTTTTTTTTACCGTACCCTTAATTTGAGAGATATTGATTATACTATTTTATATAAATGTAATATAAATGTAATATAATAGTATATATTAATATACATAAAATTATTTATAAAAAATATTGTGGGGTATTGGAATTCATCAATATCGGAATTTTAAGTTTGAAAGGTTTCACAAATACACTTCCAACTTTGATAATGATAAAAGTAATACATACAATAATATATTCCGATAAATGGCATGCGTATTCTACTTTTAACAGACGTGGGTTTATCCATAAAAAGGTTAATCATTTGGAAAATTTCATAAACCCAATAACTGGTGTTGAGACACTACCTTTAGAAACTCCTTGGTGGTACGTCAAAAATAAATAACATTAAAAAAAGCGGACCGGCTTACATATTACTATACCAACTTCAAGAAGAGTGGTGGCGTTCATTTTAAAAACCAACCGAACACCTGTTTGAATCACTCCTTCGAACGGTCAGAAATTCGTGTACATAATTACACAGTACTATATGAAAATAGTGACAAAGTAGAAATACTGCATTATACGAATATGACAATTTACATTTCTAAATAGTATATACGTATTGATATCATACTAAACCAACATAAAATTATTGTAGATAAAATATTTGCGGTA